CGCGTACTAGTGGCTGTACAAGAATGTAACAACTCTTGTATATATCTCAAAAAAAAAAAAAAAAAAAAAAAAAAAAAAAAAAAAAAAACAAGCGGAGTAATGTTCTGTGATTCAAAGTCAGCTCTTCAAGCACGTGACAACCCCATGCAAAACAGATACTACAAAATCTTATAACTTACATTATAAACGTAGGTAATTAATATACGAAGCAAAAAGTCTCATTTGCATGAATACCACCTCACATTAATGTTGACGAGCATGATGATGTGGACAAGGCAGCTAAAGCTGCATGTGACAAGTCTGAATTTGAGTTAGATCTAAGAATTAATCTCGGTTGTAAAAACCGCACTACTTCAGGAATGACAAAAGAGCAATCACTGACATTCAAAATGCGGAAAGCATAAGTATAGAGAGTTACGATATGTTTAGAACCGAGATCTATATGTTCTCTGATGTACAGGCATCACAAAAACATCCACTAGACAGTGGGACATTGTAACTGCCAGAATTAGGCTGGGATATTGATCTATGACAGGTAATGAATCCCCCAATGGTGAACATTCCAATTGTAAACTATGTGAACAAGAGCTGGGACATACTCTCTAACACTATATCTGTATGCCAGAAACGTTCTGCGTATTAGTGGCTTTAGGGGACCTACCCGTCTATCCACAAATTCAACAATCTGCTTATATCTTGTGTATGTTAAAAAAATTATGTTTATGTTATCAATTATTTCAGACCAAATGGTATAAGATACTTTGAGCTGAGTAACTACTTCATTCATGAATATTGGAAGATATCCTTGAGCTCTGTTCAGAGTTTGCTGCAGTACATTGCTCTGTACCTAAGTTTGTTAAAAAAAGAAAAGGAAGATTGTAAGGCAAAGGTTCGATCAGTACACACAGAAATCAAAATAGCGTGATGCATCAATAAACAAATCCACAAGGGATTTCAAATCCCTTGTGGATTTGTTCATTGATACATAACGCTATTGTGATTTCTGTGTGTAATGAAGTAAGAGCGAAGAGGTAGAACGGCCTATTGACATAGCTCGGGTGCATGGGGGGAGTTGTGTAAAACCCTGGTTTGTGTCTCGGAGAGGCTGCAGGATCCAAGTAAGTTCAGTAGAACTTCTGGTTTCAACTCTTTTGACCATGTCGTAGCTCAGTCGATTAAGGCAGCGTCTGGGATGATCTCGGACGTAGGTTCGAATCCTTGTCACGACCTTTGTGGTTTGTAATTTGGTAACTTTGTGGATTTGCACCACAAAGTTGATTTGACGGGGTATGGTCGTTTCGGACACAAGACGATTCTACGAAGCTCGTTTTTTTGCTGTTTGTCAAAACTGTGTATATTGCTGTATTCAACTAGTTATATTCACCTTGTTGTGATTGCGGGGGTTGAGCTTTGGCTCTTTCGGCCCGCCTCTCAACTATCAATCAATAATTTTTTTTTGCTGTGCTAGGATGTATTAGCTTAGGTTAGACTATTTCGCTCAGTTGGGTTAGGTCGAGCTAGTTCAAGTTAGGTAGGTTTCCAAATCTGTTGGACGAATCGTCTTGTGTATGATGTAACTAATTTAATTAATTTAGTTCATTTATTATGCACCCCATACCCGTCTTGTGGGCGGTAGTGGAAAGGGTTACAGAGGCACATAATGGGCTCAGGGACTGAACCCCACAATTCATTTAGCTAAGCAAGTTTCAATCTTGATGGGTTAGTTACAAAATTTAGTGTTCGAAGCTAGACACAAACACAATAAAATTATTAATAATGCCGAGGTTTAGTTCAATATCATGTTTGCTATATGCACCTTGATTGTTATAAATGAATTTGAATATGCAATAAAGAAAATTCAGGGATAAGTTTTCTTTTAAATATACATGGAAAAGATCATCAATTTCCAAGACTTGTATTTGTTTTACTAAGTTTTGTTTGAACTCACGTGGCAAATTATTATTAATGTTTATTACAAAATAAATAATTAAATACAATATAACCAGACTAAAGCATAGTGCACGGATGCAACTGACAAAAGATCATTTAACAACCAAGTTCTTATCGGGACCTTTGACAAGCCGCCGGCTTCCTGTCCTCGTCGAGGCCACTAGGGTTAGTGGCCCTCAAGTAAACCAGGTAAATCAGGTAAAAGTTATTTTTTTTATATAAATGTTTCCCATCAAGTTATATGCATGTAAGAAAATGGAATATTTGTCAGCGCTTTACGGAAGGACAAAAATTTTAGCTCCAAAATTTAATATAAGGACCAAAGATGTAGTTATTATATATAAATAAAATACTTTTCTGGTGTGTAATCATTACAGAGTTCCTTGAGGGATGTGTAACGTAAGGTTTTGCACTATCATTAACAATTAAACAGCAATTAAACAGCAGTGTAGCTTCAACCTTTTTCAATATGAGGGGGTTACAGAGAATAGAGATAAAGAGCAAGCTATAAGGTTATTTAATATCCCTATCTCACAGGATGGTTATTCATACATGGATTAATTGCTTAATTAACATAAGATAGTAGTTAGTCAATAAGGATTACGGTGTTAAATAATACTTTTTCAGTTACATACGTACATTATGCTTTAGTCAAGTTATATTCTATTTATTTAATTATTTCTTTTGTAATAAATATGAATAATAATTTGCCACGTGAGTTAAACAAAAAACGGGTAAAACAAATTCAAGTCTTGCAAATCGTAACATAAAGATTACGGTGACGAGTGATGGTCCACAGTCATGGTGGGTTGGACTGTGGCAGCCCCCACAACTAGCATACTTACCTGGCACAGGAGATACCGTGATCACGAAGGCGGTTTTCCCAGGGCGAGGCTCACCATTGCACTTCGGTGGTGCTGACCCTTGCGAATAACCCAAATGTGGTTATCTCGGGTGCGAAATTTTTGTTAGCTGGGGACTGCGTTCGCGCTATCCCCTTATAAGACTTAATATGTGGAATAGAAATTAGTGTTTGTGTTATTACTCAACCGTTAGAGAAATTTCTAACGTTTGTTTTTATTATTACTCAACCGTTGGGGAAATTTCTAACTTTTGTTTTTATTAACAGGTAACAAGTTTAAATACACTCAGCAATATACCGCTACTCTATTGTATGAAAGATTACAGAGTAGATAAAAAACTAGCTATTAGTTAATATAATATCCTCATCTCACAGGATTGTTAGTTATACATTAAAATGATGAATTTAAGTCTTAATTATTTTTAGTAACATGAAGATTTACTGTTATGTCTATTTAGGTTGGATATTTTATTTACTTTTGTGAGCTGAGTAATGTTAATATATAATTTTATTTACGTTGCAGAATGGATGTGGTGAGACATAATAGTTATCCACAGCCTAACGAGTCATGTCAAGCTCTCAAATGTGTAATTGGTGTAATTAGTGAGTTGCGTTGGCTGTTGTGTTTGAGTGTGCATTCAAAAACTAATAAAATATTTTTGTTGGGTTAATACTATGGTAACTGAGAGGGTAAGATCATATAACAGCCTGATTGTGTGTGGCAGTTGTAGATTTGGCAACGTGATTAGCCTAATACCTGTTCACTTGATCCCAACAAGTGAGCAGGTTTTTTTCTCATTTGGATTACCCCGAGTATTCCACATGTTAATTGTATAGCTCGTGTCTTATTGTAAAGTTCAGCAGTTAGTTCATTTGTGTTAAAACCTTGTACATTATCATGCCTCTGGGAGGAGTTTTCCCGGCGACTCACGGCAGGAGTGGAGAGCTCTCCGGACACCCGCCAGGTTTTTCAGTTGCAGTTTGAACTCTGAGAAAGAAGGATATATGGGGGGTGGCTGTCCTGCATACTATCATAAGTATCATTATTCTACACAGATATACCTAGTCCATAAGGTTTGTTACATTTTGAGTTCATACTTTCAAGTATGAACTCAAATATGAACTGCTGCTACCAGTGCGTAGCAGCAGTTCCTATTAATTTATTCGAAGCCTGTGTAGGCAGGCTTAAATATTTATAACTGTGATCATATAGCGAGTGTTTTAGGGTGGTTAAGATCGACCTTTATGTCCCTGTTTTAAGTAAGATTGGCTCCTCTTGGAACCACTAGTGGCTGCTTTGAAGCCCGAAATGTGGGTCTGATTGTGTATAGTGTTTACCAACGGGTGGAGCAGGTGGTTGACTCAGTTGTACACCTCGTGTTGTTTATCTCTCTTATCGTCATTGTTTATAAGCATCAGCTGATGTAATTTCTCATAGGTGATTGGTTTGTTCTTTGGCAAATCGCATGTGTAGTTGGTCAAGTGATCAAAAGGTAAATGTTATCTTCACAAGTGAAATAAATACTACTGCCCACTGTTGACATGAAGGTGAACTACGACCATAGGCCTAAAACTTGCGTCAGAGATATGTGCTTCATTGCATTACCACCTTCCTCACTGCATAGAAAAAGTCATATACCAATTTTCTAGATCATATGTCAGCCATTAATATTGCTAACTGGCATGTCATTGAGTGAACTCGCCAGATTGAATGTTGGAGAGCGGCCTCTTCGTTGGATAGGAGGTTATTTACCCAACAGGAATTCATCTGTAGGGTTCCAAGAGCATAGGAGTGTAACAAGAGACTAAACTTGGCACTCCATCTGTCCTCAGTGTCACCCTGGTTAATGTATTCATCAATGAACAATTAAACTGCTGAACTGTGTTTAGGAGGCCCAATGAGCACATCAATAGCAAAGTAGATATACTGATCCATACCACTGGGTATATCTACGTGCAAAATATTCTTAACTCTGTATTAGACACAAGTCTAATGAAGGCTCAGTGATGTTAGTTAAGATAACAAAGATCCTGATTCGGCGTCCACCCAGACGGGTAGAAGAGCTGTTCGCTCCTCCCCGTCTGGGTAGAGCGAACAGTTATGTTCCAAAGTTCCAGTTCAGCTTCGGACATTGCTGGCCTATTTTATTGCATGGTATCCCGTATTTTGTAGGCTTAAAAACGACCATTATATCTGCTTTACACTATTTACTACATTCATTATTATAATAGGTGTAGGTACTGTACATTATATGGTCACCAGTCATAATGGTGCATGGGTGGTGATGGTGTGGAGCCAGGTGGTGTAGGCGCCGGTGGGGGTCCTGGACGGTGTGAGGCTAGGAGGTGAAGAAGGCGCCGGTGGGGTCCTGGACGGTGTGAGGCTAGGAGGTGAAGAAGGCGCCGGTGGGGGTCCTGGACGGTGTGAGGCTAGGAGGTGAAGAAGGCGCCGGTGGGGTCCTGGACGGTGTGAGGCTAGGAGGTGAAGAAGGCGCCGGTGGGGTCCTGGACGGTGTGAGGCCAGGAGGTGAAGAAGGCGCCGGTGGGGTCCTGGACGGTGTGAGGCTAGGAGATGAAGAAGGCGCCGGTGGGGGTCCTGGACGGTGTGAGGCCAGGAGGTGAAGAAGGCGCCGGTGGGGGTCCTGGACGGTGTGAGGCCAGGAGGTGAAGAAGGCGCCGGTGGGGTCCTGGACGGTGTGAGGCCAGGAGGTGAAGAAGGCGCCGGTGGGGTCCTGGACGGTAGGAGGTGAAGAAGGCGCCGGTGGGGTCCTGGACGGTGTGAGGCTAGGAGGTGAAGAAGGCGCCAGTGGGTCCTGGACGGTGTGAGGCCAGGAGGTGAAGAAGGCGCCGGTGGGGTCCTGGACGGTGTGAGCCCAGGAGGTGAAGAAGGCGCCGGTGGGGTCCTGGACGGTGTGAGGCTAGGAGGTGAAGAAGGCGCCGGTGGGGTCCTGGACGGTGTGAGGCTAGGAGGTGAAGAAGGCGTCGGTGGGGTCCTGGACGGTGTGAGGCTAGGAGGTGAAGAAGGCGCCGGTGGGGGTCCTGGACGGTGTGAGGCTAGGAGGTGAAGAAGGCGCCGGTGGGGTCCTGGACGGTGTGAGGCTAGGAGGTGAAGAAGGCGTCGGTGGGGTCCTGGACGGTGTGAGGCTAGGAGGTGAAGAAGGCGCCGGTGGGGGTCCTGGACGGTGTGAGGCTAGGAGGTGAAGAAGGCGCCGGTGGGGTCCTGGACGGTGTGAGGCCAGGAGGTGAAGAAGGCGCCGGTGGGGGTCCTGGACGGTGTGAGGCTAGGAGGTGAAGAAGGCGCCGGTGGGGTTCCTGGCGTACCCTGGGGCAGCCTTGGGAACAGTGAGGGTGTGTGTAGGTCTCGGGGAGTAGAGGAGGGAGGTGGTGAGAGAGTCCTGGGCCCTCACCCTCGCTACACGGGGCCTCACCTCACCAACTGCGGCACAAAAAATATTGCCTTAAACATTAACACTAGATCCTCCCTATAGATGAAAGGCAAGGTCCTTAATCCAGACTTATACAAACGATTTGTTTGTTAAGCTGTTAATTAATACACCTACAATTTATATTACTGAGCTAACAAGTTTTATATTTATATTCATTATGTGTTAATATATCTTTGTTAGAAATTTATTATTTTAAACATAAAATGGAGAAATCACAGACGTATTGTGCTACAATGATACAATAGTTTTTGTCTGAACTCCTTAGTGCTGTAATCATGCGTCTGGAGATTTTTTTCCAATGTATTACTTTGTTATTTTACGATCGAAAGATACCTAGGCCTGTAACCTGACAGTCCAGACAACCTTCATTTTGTAGTGGGAACCTCAGAGTTGTCATATTTTATCCTTTCCACCCCATCCTTAAAAGGGGAATGGTCAGTTGGAGACTGAAAAGATATATATATATATATATATATATATATATATATATATATATATATATATATATATATATATATATATATATATATATATATATATATATATATATATATATATATATATATATATATATATATATATATGTCGTACCTAATAGCCAGAACGCACTTCTCAGCCTACTATTCAAGGCCCGATTTGCCTAATAAGCCAAGTTTTCATGAATTAATATATTTTTCTAATTTTTTTCGTCTACCTAACCTACCTAACCTAACCTAACCTAGCTTTTTTTTTCATGGCTACCTAACCTAACCTTACCTATAAATATAGGGTTAGGTTAGGTTAGGTAGGGTTGGTTAGGTTCGGTCATATATCTACGTTAATTTTAACTCCAATAAAAAAAATGAAGTTGACCTCATACATAGAGAAAAGGGTTGCTTTATCATTTAGGTTATAAGCAAAAAAGTTAGGTTATAGTAAGGTTAGGTAGTATTAATTCAGGAAAACTTGGCTTATTAGGCAAATCGGGCCTTGAATAGTAGCCTGAGAAGTGAGTTCTGGCTACTAGGTACGACATATATATATATATATATATATATATATATATATATATATATATATATATATATATATATATATATATATATATATATATATATATATATATATATATATATATATATATATATATACCAGAATTGGAACTTAGAGGAGGGAAACAGAAGTATTCTTGTTATCTTGCACGAATGGTAAGCTTTAAAGGTCACATGAGAATAGAATAAGGGAAGGAGTTACCAGATACAATCTTGCATAAGTTCTGCTGCAGAGGAGGATGCCATTAATGTTTACCAGACTTCCACACCCCGGCATCCAGCGTTTCTCATCTCGTGTTCGACACGTCTTGAGAGATCACTAAATGTTTATCAACAAAATTTGGGAGGATATTTGATTGATTTATAATCATAATTTTTCAGATGCGAGCGTGTGAGGGAGGAGTGTTGGGTGGACACTTGCACCCGTCTGACCTCGCTACAAGTGCTGCTGCAACACCCTCAGCCTCTTAAGGTAAGCCACATCTCGATGCTTAAGTGCCATAATGAACAAATCCACAAGGGCCGTGACGAGGATTCGAACCTACGTCCGAGATCACCCCAGACGCTACCTTTAACCGACTGAGCTACGACATGGTCAAAAGAGTTGAAACCAGAAGTTGATTAAAAGCAGCGTCTGGGATGATCTCGGACGTAGGTTCGAATCCTCGTTACGGCTCTTGCGGATTTGTTCATTGATGCATCACGTTATTGTGATTTCTGTGTGTCTTAAGTGCCACCTTCGTCTGGCCTGCTGGAGTTTACGGAATTTGTTCATTAATGTTGGTAATGCATTATATTCTGTGATGTATCTTGAAGATATCTTGAGATGATTTCAGGCCTTAGCGTCCCGCGGCCCGGTCCTCGACCAGGCCTCCTTTTTTGTTACACATCCCCAGGAAGCAGCCCGTAGCAGCTGTCTAACTCCCAGGTACCTATTTACTGCTAGGTTAACAGGTGCATCAGGGTGAAAGAAACTCTGCCCATTTGTTTCTGCCCTCACCGGGGATCGAACCCGAAACCTTAGTACTACGAATACCGAGCGCTGTCCACTCAGCTGTCAGGCCCCATAAATGCCCCCTCCCCCTCAATGTATGAGGACTGAAATGTATAGAGGGAGTTCACGAAATCATATGCATAATTCTATATCATTCCATTACAGGTAAGAACTGACAGCTCATCGAACAACGGAACTCCAATTTTCAGGTATGTTTCTATTCTCATAAGATTGTTGTCTAAACTGCAGGTAACAAATTAAAAAGCAGCAGCACGAAAAAAAAATAATTAGCTGTAAGAAAAATCAAAGTCCCTTCACTGGTTCAAGAGGATCCAAAGTCTCCCCCAGGTCTTGGCGGCGCTACAGCTTCCTATGTTTTATTAGTTACTCATCTGTGGGTTGATGGTTGAGTGGCCTAGTGAATGGCAACACCGTGGGTGGGGTGGTGACTGGGAGTATCATGGGTGGATGTGGGCTAAATGAGTGAGATTGCCGTGGGCGAAGATGAGAGTACCCTGGCCGAGTGTGGGTTGAAGCAAGGTGTCTGCAGGAGTGGGGCGAGATGTCCCGGCTCGGTCGCTGCCTCTGGACTGGTCATGGCGCTGTGACTCCTCCTTCAGCGCCTCCGTCACCTCCTGCCAGGCGCCCCTCAGCGCCGCCGCCTCCTGGCACGCCCTTCCGTCTCGCCTGCCAGCAGGGACGACACGCTGTTACTGCTGCCACTTGGAAATTGTGTTCGAATATTAGACGTTGAAGTGTTTCGTAATTAACTCTTGACATTCCGAACGGTGGAGGGGGGAGGGGAGGGGAGGGCATGGTGAGGGAGGTAGGGAGAGTGATGGAGTATGGTGAGGGAAGCGGGAGAAAGTAACAGTGGTAAGAACGGTGAGATAAGGGGATATAACACCAACTACGGTGAAGCTCACAGTATAATTGTTGATGTACTACAGTATGTATCTATACAAGGGAGTCTGTCTGAGGTTGAAGGTCAGACTGTTGTGGTAAGCCTCGTGCACCTTCCCATGGTGAATTGTGATTGTATGGTGGAGTGTCGTATGGAGACGGGGGGGGGGGATCGGGTTCAGTCCCGCATGCCTCTCATTAAGTAGGAGTGGATCATATAGCGACAACTAATGACTACTATTAAGTATAAAATGTGGGTTTGATTGTCCATAGAGTGTTACAAACACTATTTTCGTCTGGTGATTCAACCTTACTCGAGCGTGAAGAGAAGATGGGAGGGAGGGAGAGAGAAAACAAAGGTGGGGGTAGAGGGGATGGGAGGGAGAGAGGATGGAGGAGGGAGGGGATATAGAAGGGCGGGAAGGAAGGCGTGTGCTAGACAGAGAGTCAGATAGTGACCCGGGCACTGCCGGGTGCCTCATATGTTATGTCAGAAGTGTCTTTGAACCACCACTAATAAATACCAATAACAAATATAAATAACGTCTAAATATTTTATATTACGTAATAGTTTATAAACATTTGATTAAAGACAATTCCATAAAGTTAAATAAATAAAAGTTATTTATGGAAAATGTTTCTCAGTGGAGAAGTTTGAGAAATGTTTTAGAATGATTAACACTTAGAAGTTAGTTATATTTAACTGACCTAACCTGTGGTGATAACTCCTCAATGCTGCATAAGATAGGTAAACTTAGATGAGCCTTATCAGTAATTGCTATTTTCAATACAAATGTTAATATTAAGAGCAAAGACATGTATTGGAAGGTAAATCTTGGATATCTCATTAATGGCTCCAAGCTGTATATCACTACTAAGCCTATCCAATTATAATGTTATGCCGAATTCTCCTCGAACGAGGGTCCGTACTTAGGTTGATACCCTAAGTCGCAAGGTTTACTGTATTATTGCTCTTAGTGTAAGATTTGTCTTCTACCTGAGACTTGCATAAGAGTACGAGGCTTCACCTCTCAGGCTGACCTGTTACATGACTCAGTTCCAGCGGAGAGTCCCAAGAGATTATGTCTTATGCCAAGTTAAGATACCTCATTACAAGTATAGTCGCTTTACTTTTTTAAAAGTAAAGTAAAGTTTACTTTACTTTACATCGGACTGACCCAGGTCGACGCATGGTGGATGGCTTGTCTCTGAAGAGGTCCTTCTCGTGGTCATAATCAGATCCCAGAGTCCATTCCAAGCTGTCTCTCGCCGACGTCTCGTCGTGGGCGTGATTGTGGGGGTTGGCATGGGCGTGGGCGGCAGAGGAGTGGGTGGGCGTGAGATAGAGGCGCTGCCACGGGCGTTGACGTGTAGGCCACACCACCAGTGGGATCTGAAAGGAAGTGTTGCTGGTAGATCAGGTTAGCGAGGCCATCTCTGGCACCCCGGCCATTAACCGACGGGAAGCTGTTACCCAAGCAGCAGTTTCCCTCCTCTCTGATTCATTGTTGGGGGGGGGGGTGTCACAGTAACAAGGTCACTGACTTCAGTGTCTAAACCGAATTTCACAAATTCAGCTGTCTAAACGGTTTCGCATTAAACCAAAATATTTCTAAACTCTGGATTAGGCATAACATCTTAGACACACACACGTTTATATGCTGTGACTTGACACAGTAGTATGGCTATACTGGGCAGGTGTAATGTGTCTCGCACCTCGCATTAACAAAAAAATACCGCTTTGGCTTTTGCAGTGTGAAAATTGCATTGATACATTTGTTGTATGTTACCTTGGGTGTAATGGGTGGAGACTGACCTGGTAGCTGGCTGGCTCCATCACTGCCGCAGCCCGCCGCCGCCACTCACAACAATCTGAGGGAGAGTAAAGGATGAAGTGAGGTTCAAGTCCCTGGTCAAGAGTGCAATAAATATGGTATTAGCCACTTGAGACATTTCAGGCAGCGCATCTTCATTCATATCTACGCAGGTGCTCATGCTGGTGAAGCAGGACACATCACACAGACGTGATCAAACACTGCCGAGCCTTGTTACTGCCGAGCACAGCAGTAGTGCCTCCCCATATGGCATTGATATCCTCAACTTTACATTGCAAAAGACATTTGGTCTTGTGCTGTGGCTAAGACCTTTGTTCTTGTGGCTACGACCTTTGGTCTTGTGGCTACGACCTTTGGTCTTGTGCTGTGGCTACGACCTTTAGATTGGTGCTGTAGATGGGAAAGTTTATTTGCCCGTCCAGTATAGATTAGTTGTTGTTACTGTAGTGTGTAGTTGTTATTGTTGTGGTGGTGTATTGTTCTTGTTCCACCAGTGTGTCGCTGTGTGTGTTGTGTGTTTATTGTGTTGGTGGGAGGAGGTTGGTATATTATGATCATGCAGGGGACTGCTCATGCAACATGTGTACATTCCGACAACGTTCTCACGACATATGTCTACCTTGTGTACATGAAGTGCACATGTGCCCATGGGAGTACATGGTACACCGCCATAACCTCTGGGCGGTAGTACGCAAGGCGGTGAAGCAGAGGAGGTGATTCAACACACAGGTCCAAAAGTAGGTGTGAAGGTACTCAGGGCGATTTGGAGTGATCACTCCCAGTTACTCGAAGGACAAGAGGCGGGACCAGGAGCAAGAGCTCAGTCCATGCACTCATACACATGCGAGCATACACGCACTCACACAATCAGACCACGCACGCAAACACACTCGGAGACACAAACCAAGAAATATTTAGCACACACAAAGACCAGAGAAGCTCCTGCCAAGCATTAACGTCTCAATAAATTACCACAAATGACTCGGCCACGCAACTGTTAAACTAAAACTCGGTAAAATGTCGAGACGACTAGCGAGGTCCCTCTGTTGAATGTTGTGGGGACACGTCACGGACCTCGCAACATGCTAATGGCTTCCCCTCCCTGGAATTCCTTGACCACTATCGTAATTCTAATTAATATAATAACATTTTATACTTTCCCTGGCAAGGGCCAGTGAGGACACACCCCTCTCATGCCATGGTCCCCTTTCCAACTTGAGGGGGTGTCTATCTATCTATCTATCTATATATATATATTAGAGGATGTTGTTTCTTTGTCTGCCCGTTCAAGGTCGGGGGCCGGACGCTAGAGGCTAGTCTCACCAAACTTTGTAGGGTGACTGGTCTTTGTCCGGGGATGGTCATAGGCAGGTCAGGGTCGAGCCCCATGCCCCTTTTACCCCTTTCCAAGAAGCTGCAAATCATACTAATTTCCAGTCTTACTGAATAAAGTAGTCCATGCTCACTATGATTACAGGGATGGAAGGAAAGTGATAAAGAGTAAAAAACACAATACACACACACACGCACACACACACACACACACACACACACACACACACACACACACACACACACACACACACACACACACACACACACACACACACACCACCCATCCAACACACATCACACATTAACACAAACACATATCAGTACATATGACACACATATTCACATATCAAACATAAAGACCACATTGAAAAACCTAATCAAGGAATCCTTCTGAAATCTATAGACTACATATGTTAGACAAGTCTTAAAATATGCATCTCCAGCATGGAGCCCCACAACTGACAAAGCTGATGGCCAAAACTGAGAAAATCTCAGAGATATAAGGCGAGACGAGCACTAGAGAGAGAGGAGACAATGAGGACAGCCTTAGAGACCTAAATGTAACATTATAATGGATAAGAACCAGAGGCGATGTAATGAAAATATAGCTACGGAGAGGCTGTGGTCTCCTTACTTTGCGGTTACCTTGCGATGATCTCGGGGCTTAGCAGTCCCCGCGGCCCGGTCCTCGACCAGGTGTGGGCGGAAGTTACAACACAACAAGGAGACACAGTCAAGTGCTGGAGCCAGAGGTTCTCGGTGTCACCTCCCTTCACTAACTATGAACGAGTACTGCAAGATGGCATGTGTAAAAGCACCATTATAGGCATGATGGGCTCCGCAGTTAGATATCCCTCTACGTTAACACCTCTAGGCAAGCACAACAGGTTAGCGTGTACACTTTTTATGTTTAAAACACCAATAAAGTGGCTTAGACTGGCGAATTCTTGGGTAATTTGTATAATGAAAACCTTCTAGTTACCCGCACGAACACAACGACTTCTGACGTGTTTTGTTTAAACTCTAAAATACCATGCCCAAGATTACCAACAGAGTGCCGGCGGGGGGATGGGGAATTAGCCTCGGCTACCATTTATGGAGGTCTCTCTCTTCGTCTCTATCAGTTCCTCCTTCTGTTCGACACTTTCGCGTTGTCTGCATCTCTCTATCCCTCTCTTGGCCATCTATCTCTACCTCGTCAACAGTCCCCCAGAGAGCGTGTGTGCGTCAGTGATTGATTACATCCTGGTACCTATGGTGGAGTGCTGACCATTAATCATGTGTTCAACCACCACGTTGCTTGCTATCGACGCCCAGCGCGTGAGGTGCCCCGACACACGGACCCACATATATAACCATCTGTCAACCCGTGTTGTGGCGGCACCGTTGACTGTGGTAATAGTGTACTATGCGGGGATGGCTGAGGCAGAACACAGTACTTTCAGTAACGGTGCGGGAGGTGGCGGACGCTGAAAGGTAGTCGGGTGCTCCAGGTGATCCTCGCATCTCTATTCCTTGTCTCAAGTGCTATACATCACACTGGCTTAGCGCTTTCCCGACACAATTAACGTAATGGGGGACAGACACTGTGCGCCTGTAATCAGTAAAGATGTAGTGCGGTTGGTGAAGCTCATCTCTCGTTTTCTGTGAACGAGGGGTGACGATGGAGCAGTGGCCGGCTTCCTGGAAGGTATGTGCTATACATTAGTGAGAGGACAGCATTAAGACAGGTACACAGAGTGATCTGTCAACAGATGATTAATAGGTAATGTGAGAGTTATCTGCCTCGCCGGGGACAGGCGTCCTCAGAGGCACCACCAGGTGGGAGTAAGAGTAATGAACCTGATCATTTCCAGAAGGAAATAATCAATCATGACCCGTGGAGATGACGTGTGGGCGCACGAGGCAGAGTTAAGTATTGAAGGTGCCACGAGGCAGCGTGCAACACAGGCGCAGAGGATATTACATATATCTACATATATATGTGGATATATCTGTGGATGCCTTAGTGCCCGACGGACACCCCCACCGGACGACTCCTCTTCTCCAACCCCCGTGGTGGGCAGCGGGCACAACCCCCGTGGTGGGCAGCGGGCACAACCCCCGTGGTGGGCAGGGTAATCAACCAAGATTAATCAACTCTGCCTGTGCCGAGTTGCCTATCTACTCTGGTGTGACTTCCTTGCTCACCACGTGAGAGGTTGAGGTAGAGGTAGAGTGGCTGGGAGAGCGATCTGGGCGGCCATGACGGCAGAGATGGCATGATTCCAGTCCTCGTCACCAGAGAATGATTGAGAACTTCTCCAAGAAAGGATTTCAGTAAACAGTGGAATTCGCTTAGTTAGATGGCCAGACAGCATGTCTCAGACTGTCTGAAACATGTCAGACAGCAAGTTAATCTCGGGAGGGACAAGGGGCTGGTGAGAAGGTAATGGACATAGAGAGCGTCGATGTCTTTAATCCTCGGATCCGCCCTTTTCAGGTTAGCGACCTTTTTCTAAAGGTTCTCGTCGGTGGCATTCAGTCGAAGAGCTCCGAATCCCACGGAGTTGGTTTGAGACTCTGACATGACACTATTTACGCCAGTAATAATGTGTGGTTAAGGCGACAATACAGGGTCAAGGTCAATACTGTCATGGGTATATTGGGTCCATGCGTCATGGTCAATACTATCACGAAGATGTCGGATCCCTGCGTCATAGTCAGTTATGTTATGGAGATGTGGGGTCCCTACATCATGGTCAATACTGGTATGCTATGTAGGGTCCCTGTGATATGGTCAATACTATCATCGGTATGTGGGGTTGCATGGTATATGGGATCCACACATCATGGTCAATACTGTCATTAGTATGTGGGTTCCCTACGTCCTTACGTCATGGTCAATACTGTCATGAGAATGTGGGGTCACTGCGACATAGCCAACACAATCTTGGAGATGTGGAGCCCTTACATCATGGTCAACACAGTCTTTGGAGATTTTGGGTCCCACCTTCATGGTCAATACTCCTTCCCTCGGCGCGGTTGGTGTCCATTGTCCCTGGCGGCTGGTCGATGACTGTGTATATGTTGTTCAGTTGGCAAATGCCGCATACTTTTAATTAATTAACTTGTATCTTGTACGTTGTATCGATCTCATCACAATACGTGTTAGATGCAGCGGGTATGATGTGTATATTTTGTACTTGATACACCCCTCCCGGGTGCGTGTATGTGTACGACCACACGCCTCTCGCTTGTCTAAATCACTTCAGTCTTTTTAGTGGCATAAGACTTGCAGGATTGGTACATTGTTTCCTGAGGGAAATGACTTGTTTTTTTATTATTAAACAGTTTGAACTCTTATGTTCATTATACTTTCACGAGAATATAAGATTAGCGACCAAACATCACAACCCATTACCACAGAAACAAGGTTATCGCGTATAGCCAAACTCAATTACGGGCTCACCATAGCCCGTGCTACATGGACACTTCGTTCTGAGTAGCTAAATCTGTAACAACAACATCACAGCCACTTTACATCGACGGAGTTTAACCCTCCAAACTCAATAGTATAGGATTTATTAATACATTCCGTTGTTACCATGTTATAATCGATTTAGGATTGAACAGGAACGTTTGCAAGTTATATAAACGATATAAAAGTAGGGCGGAAAATATATTCAGCAGATACAAAATTGCTACGAGACATTCTAGAC